GGCTGTGAAATTACAGCCCTCTGCAGCCAGGCAGAGCCAAGTGCAAGGGAGGGCTGCACAGAGCAGGAGCCAGGCTCCTCTCTGATGGAGGCTCAGGATGGAGGGCCTGGGTGCTCAGGCTTGGAGGGGATCTGGGGGGTAGAAGTAGATAATCCAAATACAGTCAAAAGCTGTTGAACAGGCACAAAGGGAAAGTGAGGAGAACAGCAGGTGCCCAGTGGGCAGCAGTGGGGCTGCTATTTCAGGGTCCAGAACCCCCTTCCTCGACATGCAGCCATCTGTAGCTTGTGAATCCACTGAAAGGGTTGTGGGGCTGCTGAGCTTGCTCATCCCTCTTCTGCTTCAGTCTCCTGGCCCCTTGCAGCTCCTGGCAGAGAAGAGAAGGCATCCTCACTCTGTTTGCCCTTCCTATCCCAGAGGAACTTGCTTCTAGGCTCCTCCTGGCCCTGCACAGGGGAGGAAGCAGAAGCAGCAGATGGGACTCTGTCCCAGCCAGAGTGGCCAGGTGGAATAGGATAAAAATTGATCCTCAGTTCTTTGGGACAGGGCTTGTGTTAGGCTCTGGTTTTTCTGAAGCCTCTCAGGTGCTTTGCTCCTTTTCTGGCCATCCTGATTCCCCACATGGGAATCTATAATGGGAATCTTCCCCCTCATCAAGATGAGCAGAAAGGGGGCACTAAGCTGATCCCTTGGGAAAATGGAGGGCCCCCTCCTTTCAAATCCTTCATGGATTTCTTCTTAAGCACATCCAGCACCTGCAATGTGCTTAGGATGCTGCTCTGAGAGCCTATTTTTTTCCAAGGCCACTTAGGCAGCAGAAAGCGCTCCAGCTTCTCCTATCTTCCTGCAGCTACCATGCAAGGGCTTCAGCCTCCACTGAAACTGGAATTCTCCTTCTGTCATCCTCTGTCTTCCTCAGGATCAAGCCAGCAAGAGGCAGCAGCCCTTTGCACCAAACCCACGTTGTTTCTCTGTTATATAACAATATGGGCATTTAGACTTGTTTTTCCAGATATTGGCAGATGCGTCAAATATTGGCATAATCCAGTGGTTTACATGGAAGGCCGTCTGGCTCTGTCTGGAGCCTGCACAATGCTGGTATTTTCTTTGAATACAAGAGTCTGCAGCGTTGTCAAAGCAATGTTGCAACAGAGTCCAGGTAAACAAGGGGAAAAGACCCTCGTATCGTGGCCTGACCAGTAGAATTGTAGCTGCCCAGGTACAACTCCAGGACTTTATAAGAAAGCTGATGGATTTGCGGTTGCTTTCTCTCTGAAATGGTCTTTTAGCTAAGTCTTCTGTGATGGTTTTCACAGAATCACAAAATCATTTAGGTTGGAAAAGACCTTCAAGATCATTGAGTTCAGCCTTTGACCAATCAGCACCTTGTCAACCAGACCATATCCCTCAGTGCTATGTCCAGTTGTTTCTTGAATACCTGCAGGGACAGTGACTCCGTCACCTCCCTGGGCTCTGGAGTTTTATTTCTGATGCACCCATCAGTGCATCAGGCCTGCCAGTGTGTGCCAGTGGTTTAAGAACCCATCCTGGTCCACTGGGGCTTTTGGAAGTTGAGAGAGGCCAGGGACTGTGATGAGGTTAGATTTTAAAAATAAAAGGGTAAGGAAGGTATTGAACAGTTTGGGAGGGGAGAGAGCTGGGGAAGCTGTTCAGTTTAGTCTCTAAAGGAAAGCAACACGCTCATGTGCCAGGACAGTTTGCGGGCTTGGTTGCTCTTCCCTATCCCAGCTACACCAGGCCAGGCAGCTCCTGGGTAGCTCTGCCAGTGTCATTCCCAGCAGTGAGAGGTGGCTGTTGGGGCTGCAGGGCCTGGCAGTCCCTGCCTGGCCTGCTGCTCTCTGGCAGTGGAAAGGCCTGCACATTGCCCCCTGTTAGGCTGGGGTTAAAGACATGAATGCACTCACATTTGCAGTGGTGTCACAACTCAGTGTGGCTCAGCTCTGAGTGCACAACGGGGAAAATCCAGCCCAGAAGTAATTGCTTTGGTTAAACCTCTTACAAAACTTCCTGAACTCAGCCAGCACCACCTGCCCCTGCAGTGTGCTTGCAGCCCAAGCCGTGCTGTGTGCCATCGTGAGCTTATCAGCTCACACCACTCCCAGTGTCGCAGGCAGGTGTCCCCTCCCGATGCCTGGTGTGCCAGCAGAGGCCATCAGCACTGCTGCAGGCCACACAGCCTTTGACAACTGGCCAGCAGAGCCACTGTCAGGAGTGGCTTCTCTGAAAACCATCTGTGTGAGCCTGGGCCAATCTTCTGGGCACCGCAGAAGGGTCCAGGGCTGGAGGAATGTCCCCTTTGGGGCCACAAGTGCTGGGGAAGTAACCCTGCCAGCTTTTCCAGTGTCCTCATGAGAAAGACCCTCTTACTGCTTTGCCTTCTCTCTGCCCTTGTCAGGGCCTTATCAGAGAACAGTAACTGTCTTCAGTCCACCATGGTCCTGGGGCACAATGGGAAATGTTTCAAGTGTCCAGGGTTTTATTACATGACTGGACCTTTGCATATAACTTTCATGTGCTTAACATGGTTGATCTCGTTGAGTCTGCACGTAACCCAGCTTTGACGTGGCAGATCAGTGCCATACTTTTAATCGCTCTCTCAGCAATCCAGCCAGTGCTTGCTCCTGCCCAAAGCTGATCCCTAGTTCCAGGAATTGCAGTTCCTGGTGCAGCACCTTCCTCATTCCTGGTAAAACCTCCAATGCTGAGACTCTGCCCAAAGCTCATGCTATAGATGTGTTGTCCATTTCTCTCTGAATTCGGGAGTGGACTGTGATACCTTTGCCACTGGTTAGATTTTGGTTCCCCAAGCTGTTAGTTTTCTGTTACACAAATAATTCACTTTTCACCATGGGCTGGGAGCTGCCCTTGCCCAGTAGGGCAGGAGGTGTCTGTGGTCCCTACTTGTAGCAAGTGCTGTGTAGCAGTCCCTTCTTAGGTGGAGCCCCCAAATCTGTGCACACATTTTGAGTTCTGTTTGAGCTGTGGTTTTGACTTGGGCTGATCCAGAGGTGGAGTGCGTGGCTGGAGCTCATACTTGTGCAGTGAAGAGACATGTGCTGCTCTGTGCTCAAGCTTGGTGGCTGTGCTCTGACAGCTCTGACTCCGTGACTGGCCTCTGTGGACATTCAGGAAGTCTGTGTCATATCCAAAAATGGGTTCAAAACCCAGAATGTCTTTGACCACAAGATCCTGCTCCTCTTCCTTTCTCTAGTTGCAAGAAGTCAGTGTCCAGGGGTGACATGAACTATAGTGCCAGTGTGAACCAGCAATGCTTTTTCATTGGTCATCATGGGACACAGGGCAAACACCTGTAGTGGGTGCACACAACTCCTTATCAAGCTCTACCTTGAAAATCATCTTCCAGGTAGAAAAAATCCCCCCGTGTCAGTCATATGGGTTTAATGGCAGTGGGGTTTGCCCTAGAGCAAGCTGAGAAGTAAAAGATGAGATTGATGTGATTACTGGTTTTTCAGTTTGATTTTTTGGATTATGATTTCCCTTTTCCCACCCCTCCATTTGTTAATGTTTAATGGAAAACACGTGTTCTTCAAGGCCCTTGCTGGTCATATGCAGTCCTGTGACTGTTATTGAGACAGAATGATGGACCCTTCCTAAAGAGATTTATAGTAGAAACCATGAGGAGCTCACAGCTACAGCACAGCCAGTGAACACTCCCCTGCACTGACAGTTCATCAGTAAAACCCCTGACCCTTCCACCCTTAATCATCCTTGCTTGTCACTGACATAATTGCCTGATTACGGACTCCTCTCCCCCACCCCTTTCAAACTGGGCGCAATAGTGCATTTGAAAAACAAATGGAAATGAACTGTCCATACTCTTTTTCTTCTTTCTTTTTTTTCCCCTTCCCCTGCATTGAGATGGATCAGGCTAAGATTCGGTTTCTTTGTGCATGAGCAGGCGCTGGGATAGGCTTTCAGGACTCTTTTGCACTGGTGTTTCTTGCATGTGAATGGTAAAGCTGATGTCATTGTGTTATTGATTGGGATGACAACTTTGGACATAAATCATTAATGTCTGGGAAAGAGAGAGAGAGGGGAAAAAGGCAACACACACTCGATAGTTTTCCATAAATCTGCTGTTCATTCCTGCATACGTTATACAGAAGAGGAGACAGCAGGAACAGTTTTCCTGTGCAGCCCATGGATGATGTGCTTTGCCACTGCTTCCTGAACCGTTTTCCCTAGAACGTGTTGCCGTATTCTTCAGGAAATGGCTCATATCACCAGTGACACTGTCATGCTGGAACCTGTCTTTGTAGATGTGAGTCAAGGTCAGAAGACTGCCCAGGGCAAGGTCTTGGGTTCTCTCATTCCCACCAGCATTGCACCCCTGGCTGCATTTCAGTTTTGGGCCCAGGAAGGAGTAAGAGTGCAGTTCTTGGGAAGTACCATCTCTCTAGCTCCTTTAAATGCCAGCAGGGATTGTTTCAGTGTTTTGAGCTGACCATTTTTCTCACTGATGATCTTAATTTTATGCAAAAAACCAGTGTTTAGATGAGTTTGGATCAGTGTTGAGATTAGCATATGTCCCCAAGCCAGCAATGAACAAGTGTGCAGGGGGTAGCAGTCATTCAAAACCACTTTCGCAAAAGTCCTTCTCAGCAAAACTGACAGCAGATTGCTCAGAGAGAGGAAACCCATAAGGTACTTGCACTGGTTGCCTGTGTGCCTTTGCCCCTGCACAAAGTTCATCCAGATGAGTCAGATTATCAGTCCAGACAGCAAGAAAATAAACAGTGTCTGTCAGAGGTGAGCAATAATGCAAGTAATGATGAGCAGCTGGTGTTTGAAGTGTAAATAGTTTAGTGGCAGTCTGTCCTGGTGGCTGTGGGGTGGGGAATCTTGTGATGTGTGGAAAGAGGAAAACACGAAAACTGCCTTGCAGTGGGGCAGTAGAGAAGGAGATGGCATTCCCTTGCAGGAAGCATGGCTCTGACCCTGCTCTTGTCCCCTTGCAGCCGAGCTCACCTCCGCCTGTGTCTAGAACGCTTGAAAGTTCTGATACCGCTCGGACCAGACTGCACCAGGCACACCACGCTTGGGCTGCTCAACAAAGCCAAAGCACATATCAAGGTAAGAGCTGCTTTTCCCAACTGCTTTCAGCGTGGGCCCTTGGGAAGTGCAATTCAATTGCTCACCCTTGCTGCCTCTGTTGAAGGAGACGAACACCTTTTAAAAATAAATTAAAAAAAAAAAAAGAGCAAGCAAGCCTTGCCCTCTTGGTTAATTGCTTATCATAGCTACAATTCCACATTGTTGAAAGAGTCCATGATGAACTCCGTTAACTACGGAAATGATGGATTTGAAGAGCAGGAGTGTTGTTCTGTATTGTAATCATTTGTTGACAGCTTCATCTCTTTAAAGAAAAAGATACCTACTGTTAAATGACTGCATGTTTAATGGGAAATGGAGCTTTTTTCCTGGTGTGCTACTGAGTTTCCACTGCCGAAGCATTAGCACAAACCACAAGAGTGTGAGACAGGGTTGGCTTGCTGGAGCTTCTTGTGTGAACCTGACAGCCAGCCCAGTGCTTTTCTGGCTTCACTTTTGGCAAAGTGAAACGTGAAAATAAAATGCAGCATTGTCAGTATCTGGGAGAGGCTGAAATACTTGCTTGCAGGTCAGGATACTGGGAGGGAAGATGGGTGATGAAGGAGAAAAAGCGCTGCCAAAGGGACAGAGTTAGCCTGAAATGACTCCTTATGCAATGTGCTTGTCGTAGGAAACAAAGAACAGTGCCCTGGTAGATTTCCCAGCTGTGATCAAAGAAATCTGTAGTAGGTTATGTAAATCACTTACTGAATAGAAAACTGTCTCTGAGAAATCCTACTAAACCATGCAGTAAGGAACACAGAGCTCCCAGGGCACGTTTTTATGTTGAAGCAGATAATAACAAACCCTGGAGTCCTTTGGTTCAGGGAGTTGAGGCCCCTTCGTGGGCAGATGCGGTAATGCAGGTGTCTGATCTCGTGTAGAATGACCCACTAACTGCTGCAATTCACATCGTTTCCCCTGGAGAGGCTCAGTCCTCAGAGTCTCTTTGTACTAATGGCTATGATTTATCAGGACTTGAGAGGTGGGAAGATGTGGGGAGATGGCATTGTGCTTGGAGACTGCGAGGCAGTTTGGTTCAGGGGTCTTGCAGCTTAAATCCTTCTGGGACCTGGGAAGGTCTAAGCAAGGCAGGTGGGAGGGCAGTGGCAGTGGGAGGGAGGGGGAAAAGGATGAAACTAATTATTCAGTCATATTTGATCATGTCAGAAACTTGAAGAGGCTGAGAGGAGAAGCCAACACCAGCTTGAGAACCTGGAACGAGAACAAAGATTCCTAAAGAGAAGACTGGAACAACTACAGGGTCCTCAGGAGATAGAGCGAATACGAATGGACAGCATTGGATCTACCATTTCCTCGGATCACTCGGACTCGGAGCGAGGTGGGTGTTGGCTGAACTGCCATGGAATCCCCAGGACTCTATGGAGTGAGAGCATGGGATTCATCCATTTCTGGTCTCTCAGCTACCCCCTTCTTATGGTGTTTGATATTTAGGTTGCTCACACACATGCGCACATACACACACACATGTATATATGGAGAGTTTAGTATTTTTGCATGAGTTCTAAGTCTGGAGGAATTGTTGCTGTCAACTTGAGCTGATTTCTGTGGCATCAAAAATGATGGTTAAGTTGAAACACCCATTGTGCTTTTTGGTCTACTGAATCTCTTGGCAACACAAAGAGGAAAATGTAAGAAGATATTAATGGCACTGGAATGGATGCTTCACACACCTTCCCGCTTACCTTTTTTCCCCCAAGCTTCTCATAGAGTTCATCTCCTCAGATAAAACTGGCCAGAGATGATCTGAATGGCTAAATGAATTGAGATAACTGTCTTTTTTAAAATATCTCTTCTGTGGAGAGAACATTAGGGACAGTAGATGGCTTGATATTTACTGACAGACCCAAAGATGCTGTGTAGTTTGGGTGTGAGTCTGTAGTTTAAAAAAAAATGCTTTGGAAAATTCCAAAACAATATGGGAACCAAGATACCTGGTTAACTAGATCTTTGTTTTTCAAGTCTTTCTTAGAAACAAGGTGTCTGTTCCAAAGTCTGCTCAGCATTTATGAGAGTAACCCAGATTCCCGTGGTAATGCACTGCAGTACCCTATAGGAGTGGTCCTGGCTTTGGCAATATAATGTCAAGCAAGTAGCATGTTTGGGGGTGACTTCATGCTTCATTTTCTCTGTTGCCTTAGATTTTATCTATTTCTTCTTGTTTCCAGCACTGGGGTCATAGAGGTACAAAGAAAGAGGTAGTGGAACAAGTTCAGTGTGGGGAGTGGCTCCCATACGCCCATAGTGTGGCCTGCATATGGAGGAGTCAAACCCCTTTGCCAAATCCCTGTGAAAGCTCCAATCTGGTATCAAGCCTTTTTATAAATCACGTCCACAGCCTATTTCATTCCAGGGAGAACACTGAAAGTCTTTTTGCCAGATGGCTGCTTCATTCTGTGTGCTGGGGGAGTCCCAGCAGCTCTCTGGCTGGAAGGGAGCAGTGGGGTGTGTGGTGCTCACCTGTGTGTATTTCTCTCATTTTCCTTTCCAGAAGAGATTGAAGTGGACGTTGAAAGCACAGAGTTCTCCCATGGAGAAGTGGACAATATCAGCACAACCAGCATCAGTGACATTGATGATCACAGCAGCTTGCAGAGTATTGGGAGTGACGAGGGTTACTCCAGCGCCAGTGTCAAGCTCTCGTTTGCTTCCTAGAACCAAGTGAGACAACAGTGCAGGGCAAATGATTTCACTGGGGTGATCTAACTGGGTCAGAGATGCCAGTATCCTCTTTCAGAAATGACATATTGACAGCTAGTCCTGGAGAGACCTGTATATAAAGCTTTTTTGGTAAAGGAAGCCTCCCCAGAAACCCATATTTGTTCATTTGGTCATGTTACCAATCCCAATTTGTGCTGGCAAAAAGTTAGACCAAATACTAGTCCCTTTGAAGTCAATGAAATCCATTTGTTTCTGTGGGACCTGGATCTAGACCTTAGTGATGAAACACTTTGCTTTGAATTTATTTGTTTGAAAGAGGATACTAGAGACTCATCCCTCTCTTTCTGTCATGAGATCTGAGAAATGTCAAAATTTCTTACATTGCATTCAGGTTGAACAACCTAATTTAGGCCCTTCTGAGGAGCTTTTGTGGTCCTAAAAGGACTGTATCCTACAGTTTATCACAATCTAATGCTGTCATAATGTACTAGGAAATCTAAGAAGGCTTAGCCTAGGAATAACAGTGAAGATGATGATTAAGGTCTCATTCTGTGCCCAGAGGGAGAGGGGCAGCAAAGAGAGATGTTCAGGGGAGAACACCATTCAACTCAGCTTTCTGTTGGACATCATTTAAAAAGTGAGTACCTCTGATGCGTGGCTAAAGCAGGAGGTGCACACTTGTAATCTACCAGCACATGGTGGGCTGTCGTGCCTCGGGCTGTGACACTGACAGCAGGTCTCCCGGTAGATGTGTGTTCATACACAGCCAGCTGAGGGCAGAGCGAAACCAGCACACACGAGAGGTGACACACCAGAAAGTCATGCCCAGATACTGAGCCACTATGACCTTTTTATTTGAAGCGATTTTTTGATAAACATTTGTAAATGTGTTGGGAGGGAAAACACCCCAAGTCTGATGCGTCTTTTTAGAGCTTGTCCATATGAAACCTTAGATGTCTTTTATATGAATTTATGCCATGAAAAGATCTCTGTTTTGATGAAGCACTTGACCCAATGAAATGCAAAGATGCTTTTTTTGCCATGCACACAATGGATGAAGGCTGTGCTAGCTGGAAGAGGCCAGGTTTGGTGGGGGTTTCTTCAGTTTTCTTTTTAGAATCATTCCCTTTGCTGACTTTTGAAGTTCCAGTCCAGTAGTTAACCTAGTTAAGCTCAGCACGTCTCTCATGTTAATGTAACGTTTTGACTGCACGTCCTGTTCCCAAGGGCCTTGCCATCCTATCTGTGCAGGTGCTGTTAAGAGCTGTTATAGCGAATGTTTTCTAATTTTCTCCGAGACAAGCATTCTAACCTGCACTTTGAGGGCTTTGCTTTTTTATTTTTTGTCTTTTTAATGGCCAGGATTATTTTGTTTTCCAAGTTTTAAAAACCTTAATAGAGTCTTCACCTATGGCATTGTTTGAAACTTTGTATATCCTTAAGTAATTTAACTACCCCTCATTACTAAGAAAAAAAAAAGAGGAAAAAATGCTTTATAAAATTCATAACTTATTGCTGATTTGAATGGGTTGTTAATTTCAGTCCTTTAGATTTTATTTTATTGTTTTAGGTAGGGTTGGGCAAAAAGAAGTAAAATAAAATAAAAAATAAAGACAACCATATTTAGCAGTGCAGTGGAATTGTGTTTAAATGTTAGCATATGGTCCCCATTAAAGTAGCACTTTAACGCCATTAAACATTTCTGTATCTGAAATGAGTTGTGTTCTTCCATCTTGGTCATTCGTATCCCTTTAGCCGAGTGTTTGTTCTTCTTGTGCCCTTCAGTCCTGCAGTGAGAAGATCCTGAGTGAGTCTGCTGTAGACTTTTGCACTGTGATAAGTTGCCTGTGTTTAAATATTCTGATGTTTCCCCCACTCTCCTCCAAAATTTGTCATCCCCCGTAAGAGGTACAACACACGTGCTTGAGTAGAGAAATAACCTTTCCATGAATGTAGTGAATGATTTCTGTTCTGTTTGGGGGTTTTTGATTTAATTTGCTTACCAAGTCTGTGTCAGGTTGCAGTTGTTAAATGTGTTTTCACTTGTGTGTAGGTAATCCAGTGGCTCGGTCTGTATGTTGTTGTTCTGGGAGATTACCTGTCAGGAGTCTGCCACAGAGAGAATTGAGCTCTGGGTTAACAAATGGATCCTGAGGGCTTTCAAAGAAGAAATGCTGCTTGGATTTATGTTTGGGGTTCACGTAATCTCTGGATGACACAAGATTTGGGACAGTCTAAAGAGTGATGAAAAGTGGGAAACTTTAGCTCTAGCAAGGCTTATTGATTTATTCATTATTATTCTCCTTGGTAGTGTTGCCCACTGGCAGCCCTGGTGCTGAGCAGTTGAATACCAGTGGGATTTATTTATTGACAAACCTTTTTCTGTAGCTGTCCCAGCACCTCCTCCTTCCTGTTACTCCTATTTGTTTTAAATGCCCCTTTGGGAAAGAGGCTGAGAAATACTGAAGTTCAAGGGGTGGAGAATGGGCATGTTCTCCTTGTTGGTATAAAACAGTGACGTGTCTGTGGTTGGAATAAATGTGTTTGAAATGTTTGCTTGAATGCTTCAGGGCCAGCTTGGTATCTCCTACCTTTTCTTATGTCGTGGGCTTAAAAGGGTCTTGATAGCAAGTGCAAATACAGTGGGGAAAATGTCACAGGAGATGAGCTTCCATCACCAGCCAGTGGCAGTGATCCAGGCAGGAGGCTTAAAAATGCTCCGGAGTCATCCCTGATGTGGCAAGTCAAAGTAGTCTTGTGTGCCAGATCTGGTTTAAGAACCCATCACTTTTCAAAGTGCCATCAAAGTTTCTACCACTCACCCTGAAATCTTGGATAACAGAGTATCGAGAAGTGCAGATCCAAACCCTTGAGGGTCTAGTCTGTCTTAGCCTTTGGAAGTGAGACAGTCTCTCACATTACTGACCTCGTGAGAGAGATTCAGTAGAGCAAGTCTTTCCCCAGAAAAGTGTTCTCAGCAGCTTACTGCTTTGTCCAAACTCTGTCCTTGAGTTTTTTTCATTCACCCCAAAAGACAGACATTGAAAGCTTGTTGCCATTTGGGTTCCCAACTCTAGTACTGTTTAGCGCAGAGCTTTGTGGGATTTGTGCTGCTTCCAAGGCCTCATTTTACTCCTTTACAAAGAAGTAAGGAGAAGGCAAACCCTTCACTCCCAGTCTTCTGAGTGGCCCTAGGTTCTGCCCACCACATTAACTCTAGTTTCATCCAGAATAACACTCATTCACCCCATCATATTTGGACATGGAATCACATTTTCCTTTTATCTTTGCAAAATGCTGTGAGGGCCTTTTATGGTTTGCTTTGTGGCTGCTGTTGTTTTTCTGATTTAGTTTTGTGTTTGTATGATAACAGAAACCCTAAATCTAGTCTTTGTTTAATTTTGCAATAATATGGGGATTTTTCCTGTGAAAAACAGAATTGGGTGCCCTTTCCTGAGGCAACTTCCCCACGCAGCAGGCACACATGCAGGCGCACGCACAGCTCCCTCGCAAGCTCATTCTGTCAAGTCTTCCCTCTGTAAATTAGATCCCCGGTGGGTCCCTTTGCTACAGACAAACCCATTAAAAAGACCATCCAGCATTTTCCTTCTTTTGACACGAGTGTATTACGGAATGTCATCTCGTGTCTGCAGACAAGGTGGAGATGACTATCTGGCTGCATTTGTCACGGTTATCCTGTGGTAAGTTGTCACTTGAAGGTCATTTTAATGTCCATTCCATTAGTGGTATGTCAGTGACGAAGGTGGTCTCAGATCTGGCTGTCTCAAGAAATCTGTAGGTCAATAGAAAGGGGGTTAACTACACAGACTTATCATTTTCCAGGTTTTGTGATTGTGTTTTCCTTTTGTCCGTTTGTTTGCTACCATCTGTTTTTGGCCTGTGAGCTCCAGCCTCCTGCTTTTCTGCTCTTTGTTCTCTTGTGCTTGCTGTTCCCTGTTCGTTGTCTGTGTTGCCCTGTTGAAGTGGATGAAACATTTGGTTCAGTGGAAGTGGGATCTGTTGTGTGTACTAAATGGAGATAGTACTTTTTTTCCCCCCCAGTATCAGAAGCTTTTCTTGTGGCATATTTTCTGACACCAACCATGCATCACTGGAAAGAGAAATTGGGGTGACTTCCTGGAAGAGAATGTTAAAAACCAGGACTTCATTCTGAGGTTAGGGAGGTGATAATAATGAAAAAGCCTGCAATACCAGAATAAAGTCTGATTTTTTTTTTGCTGGAACTTTGTCCCTTGGACAGATTCTCTGGTGAATGATAAATTCTGTGACCTGATAGTGACTGAAACTCCTCTGCATCAGCGCAATGCAATCTCTGAATTGTCCTGTGGGACCCTCAGGGAAGAGGAGCATGACCTTCTGCCTCTCTGTTCCCCAGTCTGTACAAAATACCTCGAAAATACTGACGCGCTGTCAAATTTGCTTGAAATGTACCAGCAGATCTGAGTGATGTTTGGGAGGATGAACACGGGAGAGGAGAGCGGTGTTTGCACACAATGTTTTCCTTTGGAGTGGTTTGTTATAGAAAGGCGGGTTACTCGGGGGTCAGCACTGGCCCCTGCTTCTCTGCTTGTTTCCTCCTGCAAACAGGACTGATCCCTTTAGTGGTTAGGCACAGAAAGGAATAGGAGTCTTTTTTGGGTTGTTGCTAAAACTAAAGTTGTCTCACAAGGAGAGATGCCTGTGTTGAGGTCCCTTCAAAAATGGCATAGACTGGGAATCGCTGAGCAGCACAGAGGGAGGAGGGATGTGTCTTACGAGGTGTGACACGAGTAGAATCACGCTGTGCCACTGGCCTGGCTGGTGCAGGTCAAGGGTGTGAAATGCCACATCTAGAAAGATCTTCGACATTAACCATGCTGTAAGAGCTGTGGGTAATAATTTTTTTTTTTATCACACTGGAAAAAACCAACCCCTTAGTTTGTACTATCCCAGTGAGGCCCAGAGCAAGCTGGTGGGGTGAGCTGGGTAGTTTGGCCTTTAACAGGTCATTTGTCATCTTGGCTTGCAGTCTGCTGTGCTGCAGACACGTGATGAAGCTTTATTTTAATACAGCAAGGATACAGCTTCAGCAAGGATTAATTTTGATCTTGAGGGATGCTGCAGCAAAGTAAAATAAGCCATGAAGGAATTTAAAGCACTTTATGGTGGTTTTAACATGGTGGTTGCTGGTCAGAATGTCATACTAGTCTTGGACTGCCAGTACACTTGCTAGTGCTCAGTTCAGCTAAGGGCAGGAAATTCTTTCCATTTAATCCCCTTTCAAAAACACATCTCAATTAATTGGTTTGGATCTCCTAGAAGGCTTGATGGGGAAATACAAAAGCTCTTTCCTATCCCGGACTGGTGGACAACTGTACAAAATAGCATTCAAGGCCCAGGAAATACCAGGTTCAGCAGGTCAGTCAGACAGGTAAGGTGTAAAATGAAGCATTGCTCATATTCCTCATGGAGAATGTCTCTTGGGGAAGGAACATCACCTTTCAGTCTGAGACCAAGACACTTTCAGTCAGCACCGACTGTGGCAATCACTGCGAGGTGAGTTCGGGTAGAAAGGTAATTGCTTTCCAAAAGGAAACAATGTGAGTGCTTTTGTGTAGCAGAGCGTTCAGCTCAAGACCAGAACTTTGAAAGTTGCTGACTCAGGTTGCACATTAACAGGTGCTGGCTCAGATGTTCACCATCATCCCGATGTAAATGTCCCTCCTTATTCTGCCGTCTAAGTGAAGCTTTTCAGAGCACAGATAAAGATTAGACAAATTGCAGTGCAAAGAGCAGCACCAGCTGCCAGGCAGTGATCCTTCTCCTGGGCCTGGCCCAGGAATGCCTTCTATAACCTCACACATCGTGTAACTGTTGCAATGCAGTGGTTATGATGGTGGTTTCCCAAGACCCTGCCCCAGAGCTGATGCAGGCGAGTGGAAAGTCAAGGGGAAGCAGAGAAGTCTGTATTGGTTTCGCCTTGTGAACATCTCCAGTACTGAATTGCAGTGTTCTCAATTAAAGTGCTCTTCTGAATTTACAAACCTCCGAGACCAAGCATCCACATAAATAAGTGACACAATGCTCACTGGTGTCAGGGAAGGCAAAAGATAAGTGGATTGCCATGACCACGAGAATTTCAAGTTGCTATTCTTAAGACTTCTAAATACCAAAACTGACTGGAGCCATCCCAGATTAGTGAATCAGGTTTATACTGGTTTCATTTCCTGGTTTCAATTTGCACAGGATTGAGGGTGTAGTAGTTAAACCACTTCCTGTAGGAACTTAAAGAGGAAACATGTAGCCCAGATTGTCATTTTGCACAGTACCCTTATCTGAAAGGCACGATCTGTGTTCTCTGACAAGGATCTTTTCCATGTCTATGGACATGGAAAAGCTTAGGGTTTTGCACTCTTTATACTCGCTTTCCCTCTGTCATTTCAGTGTTTCCAAGTACTGTCTGCTTGCAGTAGGATTTGCTGGCACTGGGGTAGGTACTTCATGTGCAGAGGCCCAGAAATCAACGAAGAGCATGAGTTCTGAAAAGTCAGGCTTCTTACTGAGTAGACCATTTAATAAAACTGGGAAATAAATTGTAAAAAAACCCCAGTCAACCAAAACACTAGAAGCCACACATTCTGGGTCACTTCAGCATTCGTAATATAAGCAGCTCTGTGTTTTGGCAATTACCAGCATTGCTTAATTTAATTTTTT